ACCTAACGACACTAACGACACACGTAGTTTTGGAGATGAACATGTTTATATGCCCACACTTCACTGGACAGCATATTACCATTTTACTAATCCCCTTTGCCTGCCACTATCTAGTACTCATAACGATATAGAAAAGAATAAAGATATACTATATAGACTCACCGCAACACTAACCCCTAGACAATTTACTTATATAGGATATAAAAGATTACTAAAAACATTCACTGCACCTCGTGCTAACGAATTTACAATAGAATATTATGACCATAATATCATCCGAACTAATCAAGACCAATTTCTAGATGACGACCGCTTCGCTACCTTATGAGTTTGCAGTAGGCACCGAGGAACTAAAAACCATTAGAGCACTTCAATTGCTTTGGCCACTGCTCCAAACTAAAAACATCATTCGCATACTAGCAAAATTACTAACAACATCGGACATAATACACGACATCTTTCCCCACGGTTTTTTCCCAGACGATTAACAGGTAACAATCATTTAAAAATATTCTTCACTAATAAATTTAAATTAGTACTAACCATTCTTTATTCATGTTTCTTTTACATTTATAGTCTTCATACCACGATCATCTGCAAAAAACGGAAAATAAAAATAAAAAAAAACTTGTTAAAATTCTTCTAAACTTCATTAATATTTTGCACAAAATAATATAATAAATTGCATACCAAATGTAGTAAATTAATTTATAAATTGTTTCCCCATGAAGCAGTAAATTTAATTACGATGAAAATTTATAACTTTAAATTTTCCCAAAAAAGCAGTAAATTTGAAATTCTATGTAATAAATTGATAAAATGAAAATGCAGTACTAACCTTTTGATATTTTCATTCACTCGCACAGGAATTCTATCCAAACTCGCACAGCTCGCACATAAGAAAAAACACCACAAACCCGACATAAAACGTTATCACATAACAGGACCTCTCACAGAAACCGCACAAAATCATACTCCCACTCCTGGCCTAACCAACCAGAGAGGACGTCCTGAGCATGCTCTATAACCGGCCTAACCCACCGCGCTACATCTACGCTTTGTGACCACAGTTCTATTTTTAAAAAGAGGTACTCAAGGGTGAGTAACTCTTCAAAATAGCCGAACTAAAACAAAATGCTTTTGTGAAAACAACTAACTAAATTCATGATTAAAAAACCGAACTAATAAAATTTTATAAAATGTAAATTTTACCTTGCAGTATATAGATCAACACACAACAACAAAGACGAACATCCAAAGACAAAATGATCCCATCACACTCGAACAAGAATGGCTAACCACAACCGATATGCCGTCCACAATCACAACTCAAAGGACTTAGAGTGCGACTTGACTTCGCAGAAAAGGACTTCATTGAACTAGACCAATGACCACCTCGATGTTCAAGTATACGTACAGATCCGAGTTACGAGGCATCCCTTCCACACACGAACTCCACGCCATTCCCAGACGAGGTTGAACATAAAACAAATTCTCTACATAATACAGAAAAACCCGTCATAGCAAACCATTTTGAAATCAGATTGATTTCATTGGGGAACACAGTCGTTGTCACAAGACGACACAACGATTGATGTCCCTAACTCCAGCGTCCTGGAACTTCTTTAACAAGAGAAACCGGAAAAGAATATGCTGTTCGCCAAATACCAACGTTCATCATCCATCCTTTGAATTGCAGAAAGATAATTCTAAAAACTATGTAAAACCCGGATGGGTGGAACCTGATCTAAACTATATTTTATGATTGGATAAATTGGATATTTTATCACTGTAAAGTATTTAATATTAACCAATCATAATCCATCTAACTAACAACCCACTTATTTGTAAGTGCTGAAATTACTTGTAATTTCAGCACCAGAGAGATTTGAATTTAACTTAGAAATTAGTTGTCTCTCCAAGAGAACTTCAGCAGCCGCAACAAACCAGTATACTCTAGATCTATTGAGCCTAGCAGAGACTAGTTAAACACCCTGAGACTAGAAAGTATAAGAGTAAGATTAGGATCGGTATTAGACTAAGAAGTTGCACGAATCTATCCGGCCGAAAATAAGATAGCGTGACGAGCAGACGGTGTACCATATCCGAAATTACTCTATGAGTTAACCACATCGGTCCCAACTCAATTTTGCATACTTAAACCACTTACAAGCAACGTTTATCTCATTCTGATTGAGCGGTAACGTGATTTTAGGTAATTCTATACACACCACATTGTTAGTTTGTAGCGTTAGATGGGAAGATAAAATTTACTGTCGAGATTTTACAGATTTTCTGTAATTGTCTATCCAGTTTAAAAGCTTTTAATGGGTGCGGGCGATACGCACAAAAGTGTTCCAAAAAATTTTTGAAGAAAGACTTCCAAAGAAGCAATTAAAGTGTTTGAAAACGCGCGATATGGAATCATACTGAATGCTGATCTGGCAATTCACCAAGGGGAAATAATCATTTGTAGAAGAAAAAGCCGAGAAAAGTATAATTGTTCTCCTTCAAATATTTGTATCAACCGGATTTTTAACAAAAATTTACATGATTGACCTTATTACACATCCATTACAAAAGCAGACATAAAACCAATTGAATTTAAATGTTTATTTACATAATAGCAAAATAATTCATTTTTAGTTGATTATAATTACGCTTGCGATTAGCAAGCGTTATCAAATGGGAAGAAAGACTTTTTTTTAGAACTACCCTGCCAAAACTGGTTTGTTTGGTTCAATCGAAATAACAGGTTGGGAATCTCTTCCGCACAACCGGCTATGCTCAATTTTTTTGAAACAATAAGCTATGGTTCTGGGAAATGTCAAGTTTCTGATTTAGTGCCGAAACGTTAAATTTTTGTCAAAATTCCAAAACTTCAAAAAACTTTCACTCTTCTCATTTGTTTTAGCAGAGAAACAACTAAGGTTTTGGGGCAAAAATCCATTTTTTTAAATTGAGCATTCCCACCCGCATCGGAATAACACTTTTAAAAAAGATCAAACAGGTATCTCGAGCTTTAGCTGGGCCCTTAGTTTTTTTATCGAGACTTTCGACTCATCCCATCTACTTTTTTCAATTATTTATAAATTTTTTTCGACATAATTTTTATGGTTGTGTTGTACCACAAATTTTGCGAAGCTCTATTTTGCCGGGGGCTGTTCTCATGCGCGAAGGACCGAATGCGCGAAAAAAACTCGAGGGCGAAAGACATAATTAGTCGAAAGTCAATTTTTAAAAAGAGTCATTTCAAAAATTTTGTTCCACTTCGGCGGCGGTCAGTGACAATTTGAAATTTTTCATATTTCTGCCGTTT